GGGGGGAGGGGGTTCCGCTTGAGTGACTGTCTGTGGACCTTGACAAGGGGCCACTGGCCATTCGGGCCTGCGTAGAACTATGCCATGGAATCTGGGGCAAAGCCAAGAGAGAGACATCTACGACGGGGCAAGTTCTCATTCTGTAGCCCAAGGTTTCTCAAAGCGGGGTTCATGGGCCAATTACATCAGCCTCAGCTGGAGAGGTGTGCTTAAAATACAGATTCCTGGGCCCCACGCCAAAATGAATCAGTCTCTGTGGGTGCATCGAGTCCACATTTTAAACACGCTCTTCAGATGACCCTTGGGCAAGCTTGAGAACGCCGGCTGGAGGATGGACACAATTTAAAAATGGCCCTGCACGCACTCCAGCCAGTGACCCAAATCCTAGAATCTGAGAGCTGAGTGGGGGCAATGCCACGTCCCGTGGCTGACCACGCCCTGCTCTTTGATTCACACCCGTGTGCAGTGGGAGGTGAGGACACAGGGGCTGGGGGGTATGATGTAACTGGTGTGTCCACTGCCTCTTCCTCAGGCATCATCCTTTCTGTGGCCCTGGCGGGCATTCTTGGCATCTGTATTGTCCTGGGAGTGTCCATCTGGCTGTTCAGAAGGAGGAAGAGGTGAGCCGTTTGGGATTCGGAATGGGCATGGGTGGCATCTAGGTCCATGGGACTGGTCTGATTGAGAAGACGGCCTTTAAGCCTGCAGAGTGAAGACCCCCTGCCACCTCACCAACAGTTGTCCTGGCAGCACTCTTCCCAAAGCACGGGTGCCCAGGCCCCGGCTGCAGGAGCCATTATGCCAGGAGCTGGCAGGGCATGCAGCAGCCTTGCCGCCATGGCGCATTCTCTTGGCGTGCGAGAAGTCCATTTCCATAAGCACACTCAGCAAATCTGTCTTCTTACTGAGTGCTGCATCGGGGTTTTCTTCTAGAAATCCAAAACAGAAAACGGAGAACTTGGTTTCTGACCCATATTAGCTATCGAGAGTCTTTACCCATGTTTTATTGGCATGTTTGGGTTTTCCCTAAAGCCTGCTTTTCTGTTACTTGCTGGTGCAAAATGAAAAGGCACCAGGAACCCTATTGTGGAACTGAATGCGTGAAGAGTGAGACGATGAGGCTGTTTTCAAAACACTTAAGTTGGGCTGCTAGCCACAAGGTCAGCGGTTCACAACCACCAGCCGCTCCGAGGAGGAAAACAAGGCTCTCTACTCCTATAGAGAGTTACCAGTCTGGAAAACCCCAGGGGCAGTTCTACCCTGTCCTGTAGGCCCCATGAGCCCGTGACCCTGAGTAGTATTCAAAGAGAACAGTTGAGAAATGAATAGTTTTTTGTTTGGGGCATTGTCTTCCAACCCACCCCAACCAAACTCACTGCCACGGAGCCAATTCCGCCTCACGGTCCCCTTCTGCAGGGTTCCCGGACTGTGAGGGTTCTCTCTCAAGCCCTACCGACCCAAGGCAGGGTCCCCAAGAGAGGCCTCAGACTCCTCCTTGTATCTCCTGGGCCCTGCTCCCCTCTCTGACTGACCAGACCTGTCTGTTCTCGTTCCAGTAGCAACAAGGGTGGCAGCAACAAGGGCGTCATTTATAAACCGGCCATCAAGAAGGAGACCGAGGCCCACGTCTGAGGCTCCTGGCCCTTCCAAGAACGGCCCTGGAGAGACCTTGCCTTGGTTCTCTGGACACTTGAAACACCGGAGGGGGTTCTCTGATACGCGTGTGAGCTCCTGGACTCTTGGGGCCTCTACGTGGAAGCCCATTGCCCTGGTTTCAGGGCCACCTCCAGCGTGATATGTGGGTGGGAAGCGCTCAGGTCAGGAGGCAGGCGCGGGGAGCTGCTGTCTCACCTCTGAGGGGTCACGGTGGTCTGCAGTCTGCCTGCTGGGGGGCAGCGATGGGTTGCAGCGCCCCGCATCCAGGGGTTCCCCGAGGGTGTGGTTTTGAGTGTCCTGCAAATTCAGTTGTTGCTCCAAGCTTTTGACCAGAATGTGCGCTCTCGGCTCAGGTTTGACTTTTGAAACACAGTTTCTTTCCTTGCGGGAGGGGCCGTCTTCCCCTGATTTCTTCTGCTGTAACAGAACCTTTCCTCCGACCTCACGCCAGGTGGGAACAATCGCTACACGGGCCAGGTGGCCAGTGGCAGGCCGCAAACAGGAGCTACACTTTGTAAGATATTAGGGACGCTCACAAAGTCCTTCGGCTCAGCAGCACCGAATGAGCCCCAGGGAAAACCCTGTGAGCTCCACTTCCCGGTGGGAATGGGAAAGGAGGCGGGATGAGAAAGCCCGTGTGGGCTGGGAGACTCCCTCTGTAACGGGAACGTCTGTGTGAAGCCACTGATGGAGATGGGGAGGGCCTGGTTATAGCGGGATCCTAATAATTATGAATCATGCTGGCGGGGCAGTTTCGTTTTGCACCCTATGGGGTCCATCGATAACGAGGCTGTCCCTTGAAAATGTGTTGCCGCGCTCGCTCCTGGGATAGAAAGGAGTTCTGAGATGCCCCACAGGGTTTGAGACTATAGGAGATCAGCAGAAACACCGGAGAGCTTTCCCACCCCAGTGCCATCCCCACCCAGTGCCACCCTTGGGCTTAGGATTTACCTCCTCTCGGACTTTGAGGATGTCAGGTTGTGGCTCAGCTGAAATATATTGTCCAAACCAGGAAAACAGGAAGTGATCCACGCAGGGCTGGGACCACTGTGCCATTAGGGACCGATAATAATGAGCCCTAGTGACCCAGTGATTAAGAACACAGCTGCTAACCCAAAGGTTAGCGGTTCAGACCCACCAGCAGCTCCCCGGGAGAAAGATGAGGCAGCCTGCCTCCATAGAGCTTATGGCCCTGGAAACGCTATGGGGGTGCTCTGTCCCACAGGGTGCTCAGAGTCAGAATCGACCCCACAGCACCAGGCTGAAGGATGGAATGTTACAAAGTGCCTCATGCTTGTCTCTCCGCTCACACTTTCCGGGAAGACACCTTTCCCTCACATATGCCCCCCCTCCAAATGTGAGTCCTTCGCAGGTCAGTTAGATCCACAGCTGAGGAGCCCTCCCACCCCCCAACTGTTCACAGCCCCTCTCAGATCACAGCTTTCTGGTTCCCAATCTCATTTGACAGCATGGAATGTGCTCTTGAAACCAGGTTTCTTGACAACAGCTTCTCCTTCTACGCTTCCTTCTGACTCTGAGAATACCTTCCCCTCTGCTGCTACAACTTCCCACAGCTGGTGAGCCCTGGGTCTCAAAACCGGTGTGCAGTTTTGCAAACGATCCAATGGAAGTGGGGTAGTTTTGTGTCCTTTGACAGCCTTGGAGCCAGGGGTGGGGGTTGGCACCCCAGCCCTGCCATCCGCACCCCTGCTGGACACAGCCACGGCGCTCAAGACTGAGTTATGTGGATTGGGTGCTGGTTTCTCAGCCGGAGACCCAAGTTGCCCGTCAGAGGCAAACATAAACCACTGCAGAGTGGCGGGGACCCTTTTTACAAAGCTCTCTAGGCACGGCCTGGATGGGTTTCGGGGAAAGAAAGGTTTCTCAGGTGGTCAAGCAGTGTCGTGTCTCCTCTGTCTTCTCCCCCCACCCCTCTGCACAGCGGAGACACGGACCTGGCGTGGGGTGCTGGGGGGTGGGAGCAGTCGGATGGAATGTTCCAAGCACTGGCTCCATCAGCTTCCTTCACTAATCTTCACAGGGCTCTTGGGGATCTGACTTTGGACTTAGGGGCTTCTTTGGGCTTTTGCTCATTTCTCCAGTGTGAGTGTCACACCTTCTCGCTCCTTCCCTCTCTCTGCCGGTGCGGACCACCAGGCTCTGTGCGGGTCACAGCCGAGGGGGAGAGCTGAGGGGTTCTCAGGTCTCTGTTCTTGCTTTAGCACTAGCTGGTAAAAAATGGTGCAGACCTACACCCGTCTCTTTCACGGCCATTCTAGAATTCACGCATCAGGGATGCGGTTCCCCCCATGTCAAGTTCCTCTCCCCACCTATCACTTAACCTCTCTGAAGGCTTCCGGACCAGCTCTGGGCAGCATCTTCCCTGGGAGCAGGAGGGGAGGGGAGGGCAGCGGGGAACAGGGGCCTGCAGCACCCCCTCTCCGGTGCCTCCGGCCATCGGCCACCTCTGTATTTATTGTAAGAATGATTGTAATGGGAGAGGTGCACTGTAAAAATGAGAAATTCTAAATAAAATGTGTTCACTTCAGACTGACTTCGCAGCAGGTTAAAACATCCTTCAGTGAGATAATTTGCAGTTCCCCATCTGTGGGGTCTGGTCACTCACCGGAATGAGAAGAAAGAACGAGGTCAGCAGTAACCATTCACACCCAAGCCCGAGTGCCTACCTTCAAAGGAAAATGCACTGGCGGCCTTAAAATCTCAGGGGAGGTGGGGAGACGGAGAGGGGCAGGCGGGCACACCTGGTTTGTGCTCCATTACTGACATGGTGATCGGCAGCTTAAACTCAATCAGCAGTGCTCACGGGCCTGGCGATCTGCTTCTAGAAGGGGGCCAGCCAAGACAGCCCCATGGAGCAGTCATCCCCTGTCCATCCTTGGTGTGCACTGAGATTCCATAAAACGTTTGCTTTGAACGCGCAGACCTCCCATGCCCCCATTGGCCCTGATACACGTCAACACTTTCCAATCACTGAATCAAATACTGGCTTTTAAATGTACATTTAGTGAAACAAGGGCAGAGGCACCCTGGTAGTGCAGTGGTTACACGTTGGGCTGCAATCCACAAGGTCCGTAGTTCAAAACCACTAGCCTTTCTGAGGGAGAAAGATGGGCTTTCTACTCCCGTGAAGTTCCTGTCTTGGAGACCCACAGGCCCGTTCTCCCCGTCCCACGGGGTTGCTGAACAGGCATCGACTGGGTGGCCAGAGGTTGATTTGAAAAGTAGGTCAATCATGGAGTTTCTTGGGCTCACCAGCCACACGCCAGGAGTTGGGCAGCTGCGTGTGGCCCGCAGCGACTGCAGGGGTGGCACGGATGAGAACCGCTCGCCTCCTTTGGGATGCCCCTTGAGGGCGTTAGCCCTGGAAGATTTCCACAGCAAAATAAACCGTTTGGGGGAATGCATGCTAGAACTGGAAGAGGTCAGGGGGAGGGGCATGTGAGGACGGAGGGGAGATCCGACCCAGGTAGGCTGAGCCCTGGTGGTGCCTGTGTTGGCTGCTGGCAGCACAGGGTCCGCAGAACAAGCCGCTCCTGGGGAGAAAGATGACGTTGTCTACTCTGGGATTCAGGGAGCAGATCTGCGCTCCCTTGAGGGGGTCTTTGAGTTGGAAACCCACAGGATGACAGAGGGTTTACTCGGTGTCGATTACCCCACACGCCTGCCAGAAAAACAACAGCAAACCTGCCTGTCTTCTGGGTGCAGACCCCCACAGTGGTCCTCTAGGGCAGAGGGGAACTGCCCCGTGGGATTCCAAGACTGTAACTCTTTACAAGAGTAGAAAGCCTTGTCTTGCTCCCGGAGTGGCTGGTGGTTTCAAACTGCTGACTTTGGGGTTAGTAGCCCAGCTCGTGAGCATCGCACCACTAATCTCCTAGAATTACTCCATCGAGGTTCCACAGCCACTTTCTATGGAAGCCAATGTCCAGATACTTCTGCAGCTGAGTGGCGGATGGGTTTGAGCCTCACACCAGATTAGCTCTGGCTCTCAAGATGCTGGGAGGAGCTTTGAGACCTGCTGTCTTCAAAAGTGACCTCTGGAGCAGCCTGTGGTGGGAAGGGCAGGTGCCACCTGCATGGTCCAGCCACATGGAGAAGGCCCAGGTGGGTAGGGCCAGGTCTCCCAGATGTGAGGCCCAAACCGGACATCTGAGGGCATGCCCCTGCACCACCCGTGCTTGTTTTATAGAATGATTGGGCGACAACAGGGCCAGGGTTCTTTGTTTGACCTCATTAACCAATCCAGACTCACGGCCATGGGGTTGTTCTGACTCACGGGGACCCGGTAAGACCAGGTAGAACGGCCCCTGTGGGTTTCTGAGAGGAACTTTCTGGAGCAGAGAGCCCAGTCTGTCTCCCTTGGATCAGCTGGTGGTTTTCAACTGTCAACCTTTAGGTTGGTTGCCCCACCTGTAATCCGCTATGCCACCCGGCCCCTTTGGGTGTACAAAACTATTCACCATAAAAGAATATTGCAACTAGGTTAGCTTATCTTTTATTAAGACAGTTTTATTGGTACTTCACCCATATATCATACAATTCCATAGTTCAATCTTATCAAGAAGAGGTGGACAATCTTTACCGCAATCAATTCTAGAACGTGGAGAGATTCCCTTGTCTTTTCATTCCATTTTCTCACAAATGCCTTGGCGCCCCCTTGAATATGCTGCACTGCGTGAATAGACTTTGGGGCACATGGCAACAACCCAGGGAAAGAGGGAGCATTGTACCCACCTAATAAATGGGAGATGGGGCTCAGCCCAGTGCGCACGGCCTACAGCCTTAGAGTCAGCTCCACAGCCCGTGACATGGAAACACTTCCTTATAAGATAACTCGCCGTGCTTCTCCCAGTCATGTGTCACCCTCGTAACGGCCCTGGACCAAAGGCACCCCTCCCTCAGATTCCTGCAGTCAGGGCGGTCCAGTGCCTCCAGTCTGGATGGCCACAGGAAACCCTGGCTTCGGCTCAGGACGTGTCAGACCAAGGTTAGCCCGCAGCAGAGGCCAAGCTCCTTAGTCATCTCAGCTCCTGGGCAAAAGGCCACCCTCCTTCCTAACCCAGCAGTCAGAATTCCAGGGACATAGTCACTACACTGTCTCTTTTCCCAAGGCTGGCCTGGAGTATAGGAATACACACACACACACACACACACACACAGAAAGAGAATATAATTCCACTTATTTAAAATTCTAGAAAATGGAGGCAAACCCTAACGGCAGAAAGCAGATTATGTTGCTGCCTGCGGATGAGATGAATGCAGAGGGGCAGGCATGGGGGCGGGGGCGGGGGCGGGGGAGAGGCTGTGGGACCCACCAAAAGGCCCGAGGAGATGGTTGGAGTGACATCTATGTTCATTATTTTGATTGTGGTGAAAGTTTCTCCACTATGTCAAGATTGTCCAAATTTCACACTTTAAATAAACCTCCCAACCAAACTCGCTGACCTCCAGAAGATGCCAGCTCCTGGAGCCCCCACCCCCCCACCCCCCATAGGTAACCTGCCTCTTACATCAATTGCCTAAGTCTACTAGCATAGAAACGTGCACACACAGTTATCTTACATCAGTCATTGTATTAGTCTGGGTACTTTAGAGAAACAAATCCCCAGAAACTCATGGATAAGAGAGAGTTTTATATAAAGGTTAAGTGTGCATCAAGACAAGAAAACATCCCAACCCAGTGCTGCCCAAGCCCACAAGTCCAACCTTAACCCATTAACCCATATGTCCAACACCAATCCACAAAGTCCTCCTCCATCTCACAAATCCGACGCAATGATGCCGACTGCAGGAGGAAAGCTGAGTCAGTGAATGTGTAAACATCTCAGCGCTGGCAGGGGTCTCCACACGGCTGCCCCAGCACCCAGGGCTGCATCGGGGTAGGTCCATGTGGCTTCCCCTCAGGGATGTCTTGCAGGAAGTGAGCCTTGCCAGCCAGCTAAAGCAGGGAACTGCTAAGGCCGCTTCACTCTGGTCCGACCAGCATAAAGCAAGAGACCCGAGAACTAGAAAGGCGAGGCTCACCGAGCCATTTATCCCTCCGCCCTTCAATTAACCCCACGTGTTTTTCGGCCAGGTTGGCACAATAAACTAACTACCTCAGTCATATATGTGATTGTGTGTGTCCACACCCACACAGCCCCCTCTCCCATCCAGTCCGGCCTGTCAGAGCTTGTCTCCTATAGCAGTTCTCAACCTGTGAGTCGCAACCCCTTTGGGGGTCGAATGACCCTTTCACAGGGGTCAACTGATTGATAACAGTAGCAAAATTAGCTATGAAGCAGCAACCAAAATAGTTTTATGGTTGGGGATTCACCACAACATGAGGAACTGTATGAAAGGGTGGTGGCATTAGGAAGGTTGAGAACCACTAACCTGGCCCCACTTGCCCACCCTGCAGGCAAGGTCCAGCAAGGAACATGACCCTGTTCACGTGCCCAGCTCTGACCTCAGAGTATTATAAGTCAAAGTCATTTCTTCTGCTTGAGTTCACTCATTTCAAATATTAACTTTTAATTACCTTCACTGACGACAACAAGTACAGGGCTTAGGGGTTCAAGGGCAGAGGGAGTATCTCCAGGAAGTCAGTGCCAACTGCCTGCTTTGGGAAAACAGAGGCTTTCCTAGCGGGGCCACAGGACCAGGGAGTCTTTCTGCTGGAGTTTCCTCCAACTCCCTGGAGACCTGACAAGAGAGCTTGTGCCTCTCCGTTTCCCTCCTTTCCCAAACCACCTAACACAATACAATTAATAAATACCGCTCAAGAGCTGATCCCCCTTCTTAATCTCTCAGGAAATCTCCATTGTCTCCCTTCCATCATTCAGTCATTCACAGCCGACTTTCTTCTTCCTCATACGTCTTCATTCAAAAGCAAAGATTTAATAAGCAACTACTGTAGTGGTTACGCCTTGGACTTCAATCTACGAGGTCAGCAATTCGAAGGTACCAGCCACTCTGTGGGAGAAAGACGGGACTCTCTACCCCCAAAAAGAGTTACAGTCTCGTCTATCTAGACAAGATAGGCAGGATAAACAATCTGGAGGAGAAAACAACAGACTGACGGTTCTGGGGAACATGGGAGGGGGGAGGCAGGGGAAAGGAAGTGGGTGTTAACAAACCCAGGGACAAGGGAACAACAAGTGATCCAAAATCAGTGGCGAGGAGGGTGTAGGAGGCCTGGTAAACCTCGATCAAGGGCAATGTAACCCAGAGGAATCACTGAAACCCAAATGAAGGCTGAGCATGATAGTGGGACAAAAGGAAAGTCAAAGGAAATAGAGGAAAGAACTAAGAAGCAAAGGGCATTTATCAAGGTCTAAATACAGGCATGTACATATGTAAATGTATTTATATATGATTATGGGGAAATAGATCGATGTGCACATATATAAATATATATATAGGTTTATTATTGAGGTGGCAGATGGACATTTGTCAGGGAAGCCAGCCCCTTCCGACATGAGCATTCCATGATGCTCACCTTCCCCCACAGGATCGCTGAAGACAAAGCAGGTGCATAAGCAAATG